CGCGAGCGGTGGCGTGACCCGAGCATAGTGGGGGTCGTCTTCCAAATGAGACAAAGGAATAATCGAAGGGCGATCAGTTCCTTCTGACGAGTCAAACGTGACACTTCGACAAATCTGACGAGCAAACGAATTTATCTAGAGATATCGCAAAGTCGAGTCAAATTTGTGTAACATATTCATCATATTATTGTAAAATATATTGTTCTATGTTAACCTGTTAATACAGTGTTACATTCATTAAACCACCTCTGTTATCCTAAACGAAACAGGGGAACGACTATTTCGCGGTGTCGATTAACATGATCGTAGCGAGAATTTACGCCTCTCGCTGACGCGTTCTCCTAGCGACCGCGTCTCTCCGCGAACGGTCGTAACAATATGCTCCATATATTATAAGGAAGCCTTTATGAGGCGATTGTTCCAATAGACTCAGATATTAGTAAAGATATTTTACAGGATCCTTAAATCCAAGTTGAAATTGCACTTATAAGCAGAGTTGTAGTTTTTATTTTAGGATTTCATCCTTGAGTGAAAACGCTAAATATGTTTTTACTTAAATGATCTTTTTATTTGTGTTGACTGTGTCAATTTTTTTTTTTTTTTTTTTTTTTTTTTGATTGTGTGTCTTCAAGATTTTACTTGCATGCTGTCTACTGACAGCATTGAATGCAATAATTTCATATTTGCAAATCTCGAAGGATTTGTGAATAAAATTGTCGCCACAATTATCAACTTTTCTATTTATTTTTATTTTTATTATTTATATTATTTCTGAAATAATACTGACATTTGCTATAAAATTTGAATGAGCTCGACACCTGTGTTTTGGTAAGAAACATAGCTGTTTACAAGGCATTCACGGCTGCGCTTGGGACGTACCGCTGCACTGTATCGTATTGATTGTATTGTCACCTATAATATTATTATAGTTAACTTCCAACGGTACGAAGATTATTGTATGGAGAAATCACGGAGTGTGTTGTTTGTAACCACTGCGGTGAAAGTTTGTGCTCGTGTTCAGCAACTGGAAATCAAATTATGCGAATTGCATTTTTCTATGCAACAAAATGCAAATACGCCTATAGAAAATGTGTCATGAACAACCTACTTCTCGACAAATGTGCGGACGTGTTTAAGATACCCAATATTCGAATGTTTTTGAGATGCTCATCAACTTTCTTCCAGAAGCTTTTGAATCTTACAACCTTTTTCCATTGATTGCGATCTCACTGCGTATAGCTTTATTTGTAAGTATTAGACAAGCAAATGTTTCATTTGTTCATTTATCCAAATTGAAACTTGATATTATTTCATATTATTGTTGCTATATTACATTGCACAATCCTTGTATCAAGAGAAACATGTTAAAATTCTAGACACATATTTTACAGATAAAGCACAATTCTAGATTCCAAGTATACAAATGTATTCGTTTGTGAAATAACGAAAATCTCCTCTTCATGATTAGAAAATTGGTGTGTACTGCATTGTATATCTGACAGCAATAATTGGGTCCATTTCCTTGTTTTGTTCACGTGGTCATCTGATTTCACATATAATATCACATGCATCTTCTTCCCGTTTCGGTCTTAAACTTTAAAACGCAAGTTTATCGTTTGTAATCTTTTCACTTTTATGTTTTCTTCATTTTCTTTTATTAATAATCGTTTTGTACTGCACCATTTATTTTTATTGCCTGATTACTCTGAGTACGAGTTCTTCAAACTCTTCAAATTCCTCATCGTATAAATAGATATTGCAAGTTCAAAACACGTTGCTGTGTCATTGGCCAATCTGCATAAAGTTCTCGACCAATATCAATATCTTTAGATTTGTTATAGATTTTCCAACATATGTTGATATACGACAAATTACAACATAATATATAGTACATTGTTGGCTGGAAATTTTTTGTATATCTAGACGAATTGCTTTTTCATCGCCAAGTACAATTTTTATAACTTTTAATTTTTTTTGTGAATTCTATATATTGTTCTTTACGTCGAGACGTAAATGATATAAGACGTGAATGATATCTAACGTTGCAGTGTTGCAAATGTTTATATCTCTGCAAAATACGTTGAACGGTTTATCGCAGGATCTACTATTTTAGCAAATAAATTTTTGGCAAAGCGATTGCTTTCTGCTCTTGCTTGTGTTATATTTCGTAGAACTTCTAAGCAATTATACTGTTATCTTTCCATTTCTACTATCAAATGAAGGAAGACTTATTTCCAAAATTCATTAAGGAATAAAACAATAAAATATTGAGTAGACTTGTACTTTATTACTCTGCTATCAAAATACGTCAATAGCAATTAATAAGAGATATAACAAGATTCTATTAGGTTTCCCTCCATAAATTTCATATAATATTAATCATATAATATTCTACAACATATGGCAGCGATCTTCCCAGTGCGTTTAGCATAATATACAAGGTGGTTGGTAACTGGTGGTATAAGCGGAAAGGGGGTGATTCTACGCGAAAGAAGAAGTCGAAAATATAGAATAAAAAATTTTTTTTTATTTTTTTTTTAATTTTTCCATCGAGACAACGATCTACAGTGAGATCCATTATAACGTAACGCACGCGTACCAAGCGAAAATTCAAAATCGATTTTCTCGAAAACAAAGCCTCAAACGAAAAATTTTTATTCTATATTTTTAACCTCTCAAGGGTCTATTAGGTTTCCCTGCATAAATTTCATATAGTATTAATCATATAATAATCTACAACATATGGCAGCGATCTACCCAGTGCGTTTAGCATAATATATATAATTTATAAAATATATGTAACATTTCCCCTTGTAGAGCATGTTAACATTTCCCCTTGGAGTCCTCAACATGCATCATGATGTAGTCTGCATCGAATGTAATGTCAGATTGCACTATAACGAATATTACTGGAAAAAATGGAAAATGCAAGTAACCAATATAAAAAAGTAGGATGTCTCTTGTTTAAAGCAACACAACCTCTATACATCGTCTGTTGTGTCAGTGCTTTTATATATGAGAATCATCTACAATTAATTACAACCGATCAGAATGAAATAATTACATAACTATCATACAGAATTATTTATAACACTGAGAGTAATTTAAAATTGTACGATACGACGCGAGAAATATTTTTTATGTATGAAATATCGCAAATAAATGTGTAAGATAGTTTATATCAATGTAATCAGTAATTGAACGATACTATATATTTTATTTGTTTTGGCAAAAAATTCTCATATTCGTAAAGTCAAAAATGTAGAAAGAACGAGTTCCATCGTCGGAAGATAAGTCAACGATTGCATAATTCTTGGTTTTTTGTAAAGAACTATTGCAATATTTATTGTGAAACTGTTTTTTTAAATATATTAGAACACTTGCGCTACTTTCATCGGTATTTATAATCTACCTTGGAATAATAACGGCAATATTTTATTGGTTATGGTAAGAAGTAGAGAACTAAGAGAACTATAGAGATTGAGGATCTCTCGGCGAAGAAAAAAGGATATTCCTTGACTGCAATGCCTGGAAAATTCAAGCTCTCGAAAATAGAAGTCAGAAGGATGCTTTTTTTTACTATTTAATTTGTAGTTTGAGGACTTTCAGTTTGGTATGGGGCTGGCATATGGAAGAAAGACTGGATAGAATACAAAGAAGATATGTGAAATGGATCTTAGGTTTAGATATGACAACACCAAATTATATATTGATAGAAGAATGCAAGCTAACATAAATCAAAGAAAAAGCATTAAAAAGAGCAGCAAGGTATGAAGAGAAAGCCTTAGAATCAAAAAAGGAACTAGTAAAGGAGTGCATAAAGGAAAGAGAGAGAAACTGGGGAAATGGTCAAGAAGAGAAAAGAGCAAGAAAGAGAAAGAAGGGACTAGAAGGGGTGAGAAATGGAGGGACACAAATGGAAGCAAGAGAAGAGCAAGAAAGTATGATAGCAGACCAAGTTATGGAGGAAAGAAGAAAGAGAGAAGTAGAAGAGAGGGGGAAAAGGATAAGGCGATCCAAATATAACATACATTACAGAAAAATCGCCAAAGAAGAGTTACCAAAGTACTTAGAAGAGAGGATGAAATGGAAGGACAGAAGAATATTAGCAAGATTCAGATGTGGAAACGAGACCAAAGCAAGGTATTACTGGAAAGAAAAGGAAGAAAAAAGATGCAGACTATGTAAAAGGAAAGTAGAAGACGACCTGAGACATGTAATAAAAGAATGTGAAATAACGGGAGTACCAAAGGACATAGAAAAAAACACTAAATGAGACTGGAGAAGGATTAACAGAACTAAAAGCAATAACAGAGAGGAGAAGGGCAATACAAGACGGGGAGGAACTACAAGAAGGAAGCACAGCAAGGAGGTAAAAGCGCAAAGTTGCAATAGTTTTTTAATCATTAGTTTTTAGTTTTTTCTAGTATTTTAGTTTTTACAGATAGAATAATTAAAGGAGTGCAATATAATAGAATGGATAAGAGGGGAGGTAAATATATAAGAAGCGAAATAGGTCTAAGGGATGTAAAACCGAAAGTTCGTCCAAAGACGAAAGACACGGACTAAGCAATAATAAATAATAAATAATTTGTAGTTTACAATTGGTCCAGCTGGACATTCGATAAATTTTTCTAGCTTAAAAAAAAAAAGAATGCCATGTGATTGAGTCAAACAGAGAAGTTTCGCTGAAGATGTACCAAGAACGGGTAGAAAACGCAAAACGACACTGCGGCAAGATATTCGTATCGTTCGCGAAATAAAGCGCAATCCATTAATTACGATTCGTGAAATAAAATGAACAGCGAACTTGAAGAAACGTTCCATTCTCTGCAATTTCGATGATTTTGAAACATGTTATAGAGATCGAAGGAAAGTGAATTCAAAATTTACGAGAATACTCCAATGCATTATAGATTTAAGATATCAAACTGAGATAACGAGTGTTTCACAGAAGCACGACCGTCCCTATGGAATAAACTAGGTCGCATAAATAGTAAAAAATACAATCATACAAAAATATAAGAATAAACACCGAAGAAAGTTCATTTAATAGAGAAATAAATTACAGTATCGATTATTAATAAAAAATAATCTTCAACATCCGGAAGATCGTCTACTAACACATTATTGAACAAAAGGAGTATCGGACAAAATATTGGACTTTTAGGTGTGGGTTAGAGTTTTCACCGACCGCTGCAAGGTGGGCGCAAACGGCTGCATGAAGTAGTAACAAATTAATTATAAAAATAGTATGTGCAATATATTCGCGTAATGTACTATAAAAATAATAAGTGAATGAGTAATTGATATTATTTTAGGAAATAGAATAATCGTTATTGTACACTTATTATAGGCGGATGATTGAAGGATTGCAAACTCAAGAGTGTCTATCACAAAATAATAACGTGCAATCTTGGACTCTTAGAGATAAAGCAAACCTATATCTTTTCAGAGCAGCCCTTCGATCAATATCGTGCTATTTTATATGTCGGAGATGAGAGGAAAACCGAAGCCTTTCCTTGGAAATTTTGGGAACATCCTCTAGTACTTTAGCCTAGATTTTATCATAGCTGTAATTATTCAAGATTTGTGATAGCGATATTGGGTTCGAGGTGACAATTGGTCGCTGAACGTAGCCACGGTCACGGGATAGACGTTTTGCCTAACGGAGGTCTGGAGTGGTTGTATGGTTTTTCCGAGAAATGTGGCTGTGGCGGCATGCGGCCTCGAGAGCGCGCCTAGCCACGTGTGATGTTGCCTCTGAGGTGCCGATATAATGGGACATACATTGTATTAATAATCAAACTCCAGGCCGAAACTGCCTAGCAACGGCGTTTGGAACTTTCTCGGTGCTTCCAACGAGTATGTATCAAACTTCAGGCAGAAACTGCCTAGCAACGGCGTTTGGAACCTTCTCAATGCTTCCAAACGAATATAGAAAACAAATGCAATCGTACAGCAGAGAAAAATCTCCACGAGGCTGGCATTCGTGCGACTGCCTTGGAGAGTGACACATCGAGCATTTTCAATATTCCATTTTCATTAGTCTACGCTTAGTAAAGAGTTATCCTGTTGACCGTGGATTCGTTTGAACCCAAGAACATTGTTAATAGCGTTCATTAAACTTATTATTCATTAAACTTACTATTCGTTAAACTTATTATTCATTAGACTTATTATTTGTTAAACTTATTATTCGTTCAACTTATTATTCACTAACTATATTATTCGTTAAACTTATTATTCATTAGACTTATTATTTGTTAAACTTATTATTCGTTCAACTTATTATTCACTAACTATATTATTCGTTAAACTTATTATTCATTAGACTTATTATTTGTTAAACTTATTATTCGTTCAACTTATTATTCACTAACTATATTATTCGTTAAACTTATTATTCATTAGACTTATTATTTGTTAAACTTATTATTCGTTCAACTTATTATTCACTAACTATATTATTCGTTAAACTTATTATTCATTAGACTTATTATTTGTTAAACTTATTATTCGTTCAACTTATTATTCACTAACTATATTATTCGTTAAACTTATTATTCATTAGACTTATTATTTGTTAAACTTATTATTCGTTCAACTTATTATTCACTAACTATATTATTCGTTAAACTTATTATTCATTAGACTTATTATTTGTTAAACTTTGTAGTAGTCTTGTATATACGTGTAAATATAACCTTGGCTTTGTAAAACAATGGCTAATTCACGTGAAGAGTTGTTACGCGCCCAAAATTCTAACCATAACCCGACATATGGTATATATTTTTCATTTCTGAGTTAAACATTTTATTTTGGATATAATATTAACGTTTAATATATTGCTTATAGCTACATACTCCAAAGTAGCGATCTTGTTCTGTCAGTTATGTACCACGACAGCCACTTGTGTATCCCACGGTGCTATTCTCAGGGATTTAACCTTAACATTGTTGTTACTTATCCCCCACTGCGTCACTATGTCTTCCACCAGCTCCTCCTTGCTGGTGAGGGGATCGATATTCCTAATCTGTAGGTTCCCTCTGTTGACAAGAGCAGCTACCTCCGTATTGTCACTCAAAGCGGCTCTTAACTTGACCGCCGCCTCGTTCACCGCCACCGACCTGTCGAATTCTATCAATATATGGCCGGCTCTCGTTCTACGCACCCCCGTAGCTCCTTCCAAGGTGCTCCTAGCCGCCATTATTTTTCTACAGACTTAAAGCCATTCACAGCCTTCTTCAACTTTAATTAGAATGGCTTCCTTCCTTCTCCTATTCCTTGTCTCCTGTTACCCGGACGTACCATAGAGGTAGCCTGTTCTAAGGGAGCTCTCCTCTCCCTCTTCCTTCTTTCTACTCTCATCCAACCTTCAGAGTCCTTACTATAGTCCCGTTCAATCCTTACCTTCCTGATTTCCCTCCCACACGCCTCGGCGTAAGTGGCCTCTCCTCTTTGGGACCTCTTAAGTTCCTCCACTCTCATTGTTTCAGCCGGCGATGCCACTTTCCTTTTAGGGTATCCGCCTTTAGTCATCATCGCTTCTTTCATTCTTTCTGTCCTGTCTACCCTTCTTTCTATCTCGACAGGCTTTGTTCTGCTCTTTCTCCTTCTAGCCGTCTGCTCTCCACATTGTTCCAAGGAAGACAGGATGCCTTTAATCAAATTTCCTATCTCCCTAATCCCCTCATCCTTATCTTTATCCAACTGAAATTTTTTGACTAAAGCATTTAACATCTGCGCTGCAGACGCTCATCATCGACGTCACTTGTCTGCGTGTCATCCCTCGCGCTATCTTCAGCTTCACTGGCCATAGCCGATCTCACGTATTAAGCGCTGACATTCTTCTCCACCACCTTCCTGGCCAGCTGTTTATCGGAAGCTATTCCTCTCCCTGTGACCGGCGTACTATGGTCGCTCTCTCTAATTCCAAAGGAACCCTCGGATTCCTCAACCACTTCTACTTCCGCCCTGCAACTAGTCGTAGGGCTACTCGGTTTGAAGGGGCAAAAATCTTCTCCTTCCTCACTCCCATTTTTCCTCGGAATAACCGAGATTGTCACTTTATCACTTAACTTAATATCTGAAACCATCCTCGGTTTCTCTCCCCCAATATCATCTTCTTTACCTTAACTCTCTCTTTCTCTTTCTCCTTCTCCCCAGTAATTCTTACCGTACGAGGGGGTGCCTGGGGATCTACCTCCCCCCGCCATTGAGCCAGTAGCCGAATAACCGTCGCGTCGAGCCTGGACAGCCACTCGTTCTCCCGACGGGGCCTGGGGGCTCCGAAACTCCCTGCGCCGTAACTTTATTTCCCTTATTCGACTTATCCATAATAGCTTAAAAATGAAGTCCGTGGACATCGCCAAAGTCGTCATCATCCAATATCAGAAAACCGTCCAAATGTATCCAATCATAACCATGATACTCGCGGTTTAACAGAACTATTCGTGCTAGTTTTAAATTTGCCGGTGCGCGGTGCGATAAAAGGCGATATCGTTGGCTGTTTAAGTGTAGTGTGAAAAAATGGCAAACGTTGGGGACGAACGATTGTTGGGTGAAGAGGGTTCGACGCTGGAGGAGCTGAGGAGTAAGCTCGCGCGAATGAACCCCCCCATCTGGTGCGAGGTCAGTGCTGATTGCAAGGCTGAATCTGGCGTGATAATCGCCAGGGCTGGACAATCGTATCCTAAGGGATCGACGGACGGTGAAGAGTTAACCGACCAACGAGACTTAGGAAATGTACAGAGAGCTGAGCGTGATCAAGATGAAGACGAAAATCTTAATGAAGACGAAGGAGTTGAAAGAGCGCCTCGCTAGTTTGGGGTTAAAAACGACGGGAAGAAAAACCGAATTACGCGCACGGCTACAAGCGGCCATGGATGGTAACGGCATATCGTCTGAAGAAGAAAGTGAGGATGAAGATGACAAAAAAACGCAGGAGGATACAAGAGAGGTACGCGAAGAGTGTACTAGGACCGTGACGAATGTTGTCGAAGGGCATATGTTGGTTCGACACTGAGTTTTAGAGACGTCGAAGATGTATTAGAGTCGTTTAGTGGCAACAAAGGCGAAAATGTCGAGCGATGGTTCGAGTCGTTCGAGGAAGTCGCTGATACGTGCATGTGGTCGGATGGATAGAAGGCGGTCTACGCGAGGAGGCTGTTGAAGGGATCAGCGAAAATATTTGCCAGCTTCGAGTGTCATGCCAGGACTTGGCATGAGTTGAAGAGGGGGTCAGTGAAAGAATTTTCGAAGAAGGTTAATAGTAGGCAAGTACATCAAATACTTAGAGAAACAAAAAAGAAGAGTGATGAAGCATGCTTGGCTTACATGTACCGCATGCTCGAAACAGCTAGCCATGTGGATATAGTGGAGGAAGCAAAGGTGGAATACAT